AAAAAAAAAGACATATGGGATTGATTTACCTCAGGGGTTGCAGGCAAATGGTCTCAAGGAGTGCAACAGGTCTTGTGTTAGAAAATAGGTAGAGTGCTGGGCATAGTGGTGCATGCCTGTAATCCCAGCGGCTCAGGAGGTTGATGCAGCACAATAGCAAGTTCAAAGCCATTCTCAGCAACTTAGCAAGACCCTGTCTCTAAGTAAAATATATATATTTTTAAAAAAAGGCTCGGGGTATGGCTTGGTGTTTAAGCATCTCTGGATTTAATCCCCAGTTTTTTTTTTTTTAAAGGTAGAGAAGGGAAGAGGTGGAACTATAGAGCAGGCATTTAACTCCTCTAAAGGAGACAGCCCTTACTCAGACTGCTGTCATGCGCAAATTGTCATGGGCTATTGTCTTTTTCAACTTTTCAAGGAGGACTGGAAACCCAAATCCTGTGTCAGGTTTCCCAGATATGGAGGTATGACACAGGACACCCTCTGCTGGTGGATTTCACACTGATGCTGTTAGTTTACAAGCCTTTTTATCTTTTTAATTTTTTATTTTGAGACCTGGTCTTGCTAAGTTGCTGAAGCTGGCCCCCAAATTTACTAACCTCTTGCTAGAATTACAGGTGTGCACTACCACACCCAGCTCTCTCTTGCTTTCTGTCTCACCATGCCCTTTCTCCCTTTCACATGTGCTCCTGCTCTGATATTATCCACTATAATGTGATGCAGCCAGGGGAACCCTCTCCAGAGGCCAAACTATTAGGACCACCTAATTCTGGACTTTCTGCTTCCTGAACTGTGAGCAAAATCAATCTCTTTTCTTTAAGAAATTACTCAGCTTCCGGTTTTTCGTTATAGCACCCAAAATAGACTAATACATCACCAGGTAAGATGGCATATTTACAGGTTCCAGGGATTAGGGTGCAAACAGGACTTTCTATAAAGCTTGTGGGTCTTTTGCTCTTCCTCCACCTCAAAAAATACTTTGAGGACAAAAATCTATGATAAGCAGGGTTTCGTTTCCTTATAACCCGGCCAATTCTTTCTCTATTCAAATTTTTTTTCTCTTTGTATCTGAGTATCAAACCTGGGGCCTCGTGTAGGCTAGGCAAGCACTGTAACTCCGAGCTACAACCCCAGACCCAAATATCCTTTTCTTTAAGGTCTCTACTTCTAGCAGAGGCCCTTGGATGTGGTAATGCTGAGTCTTCTAGAACCAGCATAATTCTTAGTCCAATGCTTGTGTGGTTCCAGCTTCATCTGCTGCCCTGGGACTCGGAAGCAGCAGTTTTCTCTTAGCTGCTGCTCCCTGTGGAGCTTCCCAGTGGGGATTAGTTATAGGGGTGAAGGTTTGGGCAAACACTCCTCCTCCTCCTCAGAGACAGCAATATCTCCAGGGCCTGCCTCAAGGGCTTGAGTCAACACTGAAGAGGCGGAGGCTGGAGGTGGCAAGGAAAGAAGCAGAATGAGAAGTTTGACTTGGATCTCAGCTCCAGAGGGTTGAGGCACAGTCAACTAGTGGCACAGGCTGTGCCTAATCAGAGCACATTTCTTCCTGTTCACATTCCAGTTATTTTAGTCTACATGGTCCACTGCCCAAGAATAGGATAGGGGAGTCTTGACGTTGAACCTCAGGTTTGGGAGATAGGGGTGATACACAACCTGTGACAGGCGTTACCCTGAGCCCGCTTGGAGGCTGGGATTGATTCTACTTGGGTGAATACCACGCTGTGGGCTCCCTCTCCCCTCTGATACACATAGTTCTTTTTGGAAGGGTCACAATCTCTAGAATAGACAGGGAAATCCTCCATAAACCCTTCAAGGGTGGGGGCTGGAGGCTCAGTATAGTAGTATGATGGGTAAACACAGATTCTGGAGCCAGAGAATTCAGTTTTAAATTCTAATTCTTCCACTTACTCTTTGTGCATCCTTGAGCAAATTAGGGAACCTTGACTCTCTGTTCCTAAGCAATGACGATTATACCTTCTTCACAGGGCTTTTATGAGAATTAGACGAGTGTTTGTAAAGATAGGAGAGTGCCCGGGCATAGCAATGATATGCTTCTTTGAATAATAAAAGTACAGAATCTGTTCTGTGTGGATCATCTGGAAGCCTGTTCTTTGGTTTAATGTATTTTAGTAACTGTAATTCCTTACTAGAAGTTAGAATTAAATTCTCAAATTATTCATCATGAACACCCTAGGGAATAATCAGACCGAACAAATATGGTTGTGGCTGTTCAGTTACATACATAGTACTGTCCTTTCTAGGCCGAAACAAAGGAGGCGACAATCGTCTTCTTTACCCAACTGTTTCTAGTTGCAGTTCGTCTTTCTAAGAGCATGAGTTATGTTGAGTTATGTGTAATTCTTTTTAGTTACATGTAATTCATCTGGTCCATGGTTCTGATAGGAAATCAACACATTTCAATTAAAATCAATATTACCGAGGGGGGGATAGTAGAGGATAGGAAAGGCAGCAGAATACAACAGACACAGTATGGCAGTATGTAAAAACGTGGATGTGTAACCGATGTGATTCTGCAGTCTGTATACGGGGGAAAAAATGGGAGTTCATAACCCACTTGAATCAAATGTATGAAATATGATATGTCAAGAGCTATGTAATGTTTTGAACAACCAATAATAATAATAAATCAATATTACCTAATGAAGTCCTCCTTCTATCTCTTAGATAAATATGTCTCTTAACAGTGATGGAATTTTGACATTCCAACTAATAGAGCTTGCTTGCCTTCATCTTATAGGTCTTAGGCTGGAGCACTGAGACCTACAAATTCTGAGAGATTTGGAGTTCTGGTTCCTACAGGAATCCCAGTATGGGCAAGGCTGGTGAGGAAACTGGAAATACAATAAACGTAGATTACTAGTAGCAATCAGACCTGCTAGGCCCAAAGTAGCAAGACAGAAGCCAACCATGAGAGCCGGCTTCAAACCGTGAGAAGGGCCATCAGAAGAGATGAATTAAAAGAAAAAATACTCATCAAAACTGATTGACTATAATTGGATTTATATCTTTCTTTCTTTTTTTTGGGGGGGGTGGTTTTGGGCATACAACCCAAGGTCTTGTATGTACTAGGCAAATGCTCTACCACTAAGGTATACTCCCAGCTCCAAGTCTAATTTTTGATTAACTTTACTAATAGGATTGTGTTGCATTCCTCTGCAGCAAGCCTGTAAAGATCAGAAGAGAAAGCAATTACATCACCTCTCCCTCGCCCCCTCCATACCTTGGCACCAGACAAAATACAAACCCCTAAATGTATATTTACAGTTGGGATGGATCTCTCATCAGAATGTTATCTGATCAGAATGGGGAGCTTATATGGAAATCAGGTTGATTTTAAAAAAAAATAAACATATTTCTTATGCATTTGAGCATATGAACAGGGACCTATTTTAAGATTAGAAGATGGAGGAAGTGTTTTCTAGGCAACAAGAAGTGGTTGCAGAGCTGAGGTTTTTGGTCCTCTGCTGCCTCTTAGTGGAGTCTCTGGAAATAACAGTTCAAGATTTTCCAGGGTTTGGCGAGAACTGGTGGAGGTTTTCAAGGTGGTGGAAGCTGATCACCAAAAGGAGGGAGGGGGTCAGGAACTGCTGCTATCCCCAGCAAGGCTGGGATCCCCAAAAGAGAGAGAAATAGAACTCTTTCAAATTGTCAATGACACCAAGAAGCGCTCTTCTTTTCCATCATCTTTATTTTTCCTTCAGACACTTGAATCCGGTAAGTGAATGACCAGCTAGTCATGCACCTCTGTAATACTCTTGATCACAAGCAGCTCTCACAAGCACCATGCCAACCCGCACACACCTACTCTTCCTGTGATTGGAGTAACAAGTCTGTGTGGGTTTCTCCCTCTGGTTTCGCAGCTTCTCACACCATCCCTTCACCGTCTGTCACGATTCTATCCCATCACATCTGTGCTTGGCGCATCTCTAACTCCCTGCTCAGACACAGGACAGAGAGGGCCCTTTCATTCTGGTAAGTGAGAGAGGGGGACACTTGAGCACAAAGAGGGGAGGGGACTGTGCATCACCGGGAGCACCTGGGCTGGAATCCAGCAGTGCCTGAATCAGATCCCAGGATCATCTTCCACCTGCAGTCTACCTGCTTCCTTCCCTGGTCAAAAGTCCCTGGGTGCCACCAACCTCACTTCCAAACCTGACTTCCTATCCCCTCCCTCAAAGGCTCCACCCCTGAGCATTCACTCTCCTGGCACTAGGAGAGAATGGGCCACTTGAGTTATCTGTTACCTGCCACCTGGGCTTCCTTTCTCCAGCCGGGAGCCAGGGATCTACCCAGGGACCTGACCTGACTTCCTCCCCCTCCTCTCATGCCTCGAGACCCTGCCGCAGCCTGCGGTCCAGGGCCAGGAGCTGCCTCAGGAAGCCCCGGTTGGGGATGATGCCTCGGTGGTCCTTGACTTTCTTGATGGCCTCCACAAGGGTGAAGTGGTGGTACAGCATGAGGTAGGCCAGCACCAGGGTGGCAGATCGGCTCACTCCCACAGCACAGTGCACCAGAATCTTCCCTGCAAAGAGAGACACAGAGAGATAGCTGGAGACTGAGGTCAGGCTTGGAGGAAGCCAGGGAGAGTGTGACAAGGACAGGTGAAAGGAAGACAGATAAGTAGAGGTGCTTGGAGACAGAAACGGGTGCAGTTGAGTGGTGTTAAGCATGAAGAGCCTGGTAGGCAGAATCACAGTCTCTGGGTCAGGAGTCCCCTATGTTTCTCCTTTTCTAGCAATAAACCTTCTTATTCCTTTCTTTTTTTCCCCTCCTCTGGGTACTGAGGATTGAACGCAGGGGCACTCAACCACTAACCCATATCCCCAGCCCTATTTTGTATTTTATTTAGACACAGGGTCTCACTGAGTAGCTTAGCACCTTGCTTTTGCTGAGACTGGGTTTGAACTCACGATCCTCCTGCCTCAGCCTCCTGAGCCACTGGGATTACAGGCATGTACCACCACGCCTGGCTTATTCCTTTTTCTTCAAAATAAATAAATAAATAAATAAAAGAATGAAGATACTGGGCTAGGGGGATATCATGCTAAGCATGAGCAAGGTCATGGGTCCAATACCCAGCAGTGCAATGAATAAAATACAAAAATAAACCAAGACAGGCAGATCCTCAACAAAGGGGAAGAAATCTCTGCAGAAATGGATGGAGAGGTCGTGCAGTACCTCAGTGTCCATAAAACTGAAAAGGGTGCAAAGGTAGACTCATCATTAATGAGAAACCAAGCTTAGCACAGGGTAGGGACTCCATTGATATGTGCTGAATGGATCAATAGGAAACACCCTTGTGTCAAGCCCTGTTCAGTCTCTCCACCCTTTGTGTTTTTTGAGACTGGGTCTTGCTATATTGCCCAGGCTGGCCTCAAATGCCTGGCTCCAAAATCCTCCTGTCTCAGTAGCAGGGACGGCAGTCATGTGCATTGCATCTGGTCCCCTTACCCTTTTATCTTGCTATTTCTCTTAATCATTGAATATATTTATATTTTCATACATAGTCCTTTAATATTTAAGGTGGATTGGTCCTAGGATTCCACCAAGATACCAAAAATCAGTAGATGCTAAAGTCCCCTACATAAAACGGGGTTTAGTATTTGTATATAACCTATGTTCATCTTCTTATATACTTTAAATCATCTCTAGATTATCGAAATACCTAATATAATATAAATGCTATATAAGTAATTATTATACTGTAGTGTTTAAGAAATGAAGGCAAGAAATAAAAAAAAAATCTATACATGTTCATTAGTTTTTTCCCTCAAGTATTTTCAATACGTAGTTGATTGAATCCATGGATTCAGAACCTATGAATTCAAAGGACCTACTCTGTTTTTTTTTTTCCTGACCGCTAAAGCATTTTTACCATGTTGAAGGTAAAAAGAATTGGAAAGCATAGAAATATGTAAAAACCCCCAATTTAAAAAATGATAGCACCCAGATTCTCACCACCCAGGTGCAACTTGCCACTCAACGCTGTATGATTTCCTTTGTGCTGTTTTGAGAAGAGAAAAAAAAATACTTGAGAGAATAGTTTTCTTTCCTTAACATTATATCCAGAGCATTTTGTCATGTGGCTAAAATCTCTCTCCATACTTGAATGCTTTGGCTTCTCCTAAGCTCCATGTTCATTGATCCCTCCTTCTTTTTGCTTTCCCTTCCTACCTCCTGGCTGGCTCAGTGCACGGTGGATGAAGTCAGCAGCCGTCTGGAAGTGGATGCTCATGTCAAAGGCTGGCGAGTCGTGGGCCTCGACACCCAGGTAGCGGATGCCCAGTCCCTCATAGGCCTCAGGTGTACCTCGCCATCTGCTGTGTGAGGCATTGAGGACGTGGGTGATGCCCAGGCGACGAAGTTCCCGGCGGTTGTTGGCCATGTCCCTGTGTTGAACAGAAATTAGAGGGAGAGTGGAGAAGCCAGGGTGTCAGGGCCATTGCTTGCCTAGGTACTATCGTGGGCTCCAGGCCTCTACTTTACTTACTAATGCCCCAGAAGGGAGGAAGACGGGCAAAGTCTTGTCCTGTGAGCAACGGTTGAGAGAACTAAGGGTGACTGGAGAAGTCTAAGGAGGAGGGGTGAAAATGGCCATAATAAAATATTGAAGGGGTGCTCTGTGGAAGTGGGATTTTCCTTGACTTGCAGGGTCCTAAAGGGTAGAAATAAGATCAAAGGATTAAGGCTATAGGGCCACAGATTTCACTTTCAGGCTATGAACAGGACATACTAGCAGTGGAATCTGACTGAAGAAAGGTTGGAGCACCTCAGGAGGGAGCCATTTCCCATCACTGGGGTGTTCAGGCAGGAAAAGGAGACCACTGAGTATTGCAGAGAGGATATTAGATGTTGTATATCCATCAATATTCCATCAATATTGCAGAGAGGATCTGAGCATCAAGAGGGTTGTTAGATGTGCTCACATTTAAAATACCTAATGGGGCTGTAGCTCAATGATACAACTCAAACTCAGCATGCACAAGGCTCTGGGTTCAATCCCCAGCACTAAAAAAAAAGTAAAATATAAGAAAAAAAATGTTTAATGTCCCTGCTAATCTTTGACATTCCATGGGACATTAAACATGGTTCTGATACTTCTTCCCATACCCAACCTTCCAATTACTTTATACTGTCATTGATAACCCAGAGTCCTCTTCTGTTTTCCCTGTTATGCCATGGCTCACGTTTTCCTGGTTTTATAATTTCACTTTCAAGTTTGCATCAAGACCATACCCTTTAGCTGAGTGGCAGACACCTCTCAGGCACAATGGTCATATGTCGGGGCAAGTGCTTTTCTAGTGCAAACTCCTTAAGTGGAAAGCAGAAAGAACCTTTAAGTCCTGGCTCATGGGACTCATGTGACCGTTGGCCAGTTACAACTTCCCTGAGCATCAGTTTCCTCCTTATCACCTACCTCTCAAGGCTGTTGTGAAGATTAAGAGTGAAAATACATGTGAAAAAAAAAAATCCTTGCATACCATAGAGCCCCTGAGGAAGAGAAGAATTTTCTCTTTCTTTGATGTTCCTCTCTCCACAGCCTCCAGTTTACAGACTCTGCAGACACTTTGGCTTTGAGATGAACCCCTTGGGCTTGCTACCTACTGTTCCTGGCTCTCAGTGACTATCTTTATCCAGGGTCATAGCACAACAGATAGAAGGTCAGAGAAGTCATCTACTGTGCTTGGAACGCAGCACTGGCACTCAATACTAAGTGTTTGCTAAATGAATAACGTTACTATTTGAACAAGAGTTTTTCAATCCTGAGTTGGGCATTTAGATAATCCTATCTAAACTCCCCCAAACCCTCCAGCTTTTATTTTCTGTGTTCCCCCCGTCCCTTCAATCCTTAATCTGGAACCAACAACACAACTCAGTGTCTGTCTGCCACCCTCCTTTCTACACACACACACACACACACACACACACATCCAGCCATGATCCCTGTTTACCCCGTACATACTGGTCTCCAAGGTAGAGGCCTGGCCAGACCTCGTCGGCATGGTTACAGGCTGTCTTGCCTGTGTAGAGGAGCCTTTCCAACTCAAAGACGTTGAGGAAGGGGTGTTGAACAGTTGGCATCTCCTCCAGGTTCCCTCTAGTGCGAACAGGAGACCTGGAACTACCCCGGGAAAAGCGGGCCATAAAAGTCATGGAGGCCCAGAGCCAGTTACCAGGGCACATCTTAGAGGCAGCAGGAACTGTGGCCGCTGCACGATGGCTGTGGTGATGATGGGGCTGGTCACCAGGTAGCTTTTGCTGAAAGAGGAAGGTGTGAGACACACTTGAGTGAGTCCAGAGCAGCTGTTTTCCTCCCTGCTCACTGGGCTGGGCCAGGCCCTGGGGAGAGGAGCCTCAAGGAAGAGAAGGGAGGGCCATCAGGATTGCCTTTTTCTTCAAGCCGCAGAAGCTCCTTCCACTGAGCTCTTTGGCTCTGCCACGCAAGGAGGTGGGAGAGTCACATGTCCTTGTTTACGGGAAGAGGGAGCTGCCCAGCTGCTGGGTTTCTGCTCTACCACCCCACCCTCATTGCCAGTACACACACACACACACACACACACACACACACACACACACACACACTTGGCGTTTGAGTGCTTGTACCCACTGCTGGGGCTCTTGCCAGCCTGAATCTGGGCCTCATCTGCCTAAGGCTATAGGCAGAGAGTCTAGGGAGCTGAGATGCAGATGGGGGTGGCTTTGGGCCCTTCCAGAGAAAATTATCAGAAAGTCAAGGCAGCTGGGGCCATGACATATGCCAGGCCTGTTTCCTTGGTTCCAGGGAGATGAAGTGCCTTAACCCATTCCTTCCCTGCACAGCCTCAAAGATATGCCTGTTAATAGGAAATATTTGTGGGGAGGGACTGGGTTAGTGAAGAATAGCAATAAAGAGGGAGAGTAAGTTTGGGAAAATACTTGCTCAGTGTAAGAGCTAACAGAAGGACTCAATCTATATTCACAACAGATAAACCACGCTCAAACCTCACCTTGAAGGTGAGAATTCTGAGTCAAAGCAGGCATTCTGAGTTAAATACACGAATAATGTGGTGTCTCTGTGTTTGGAGAGGGAGAGGTGGAGGCCTCAGGCCTGGAGAGGGAGAAGAAAAGGGAAAAATGAAGATTCTGCAGGCCCAGGGACTCAGACACTCTTCAGTGCCGTTAGAATCAACTGATCCTACACAGCGTGCAGGGGGGCCTCCAACCAGGAGGTTAGCAGATGTGTTTCAGAATACCTGTTGGCAGCTGGCGTTTGTGAAACTAGAGTCATGCCTTGAGCTTTACAGCTGGGAAGGGTCAGTCTTTGAGGCTTGCCCTGGAACCTTTAGGCAGACAGGTACATGGGCCCCTATCCCTCCTCCTTCTGTCACACTTATGTTCCTCAGTATTTGGAAGGATGGATTTGACTTGCAGTCCTCCTCCCATTTCCTTTCATGACTTCTGCCCAGGGGACTAAAACCTACTGTCCATCAGTGAGAGGCCATCTTTATCCATGGCCACACTGTGTCTCATCCCACAGTGGCAGCCGGGGCCCAGCTCTCCCTTTCTCCAGGGCCAGTAGAGGCCAAGTACTCACAGGACATCAGAAACAGGGGTTTCGGGATCCCAGCTCAGGGGGAATAATTGGCTATTAAGGTATTCAGATAGAGACATTTTTTTTTTTCAATGGCTGGGTCAGAAACAGCACAGAAATAAAACAGTACTGCCTCCACACCACCACCGCTCTCATCATCATCACCACCACCATCATCACCACCACCATCATCATCACCACCATCACCACCCATCTTTTCTCTTCAGGCCTAAAGACCCTAGAACTGTTTAGAAATGCCCAAACAACCTTTTTTTTTTTTTTCTCCTAATAGATTCTGCTGCCTGTGTCATGATGAAAGGTAAGAGGAGGCAGGGAAGGCGACCAGACATAGGAAACAGCTCTCTCTGGGACGCTCCTCTTGGGAAGGAGGGTGGTGGAGAAGCCCCACTCTGTCCCGGGATACACCCCTGGGCATTCTCCAATCCCATCAGGCGGTTCTGAGAGGCCCCGGGGCAGTTCCCCCCACCCCTTCCTCCGTCTGCTGTCTTGGTGGTAACAGGTTCATGGTTGTCGCCTCAGCCCTTTGCCAACCCAGACATCCTGGCGCTGGGGGGAAGGAGGGAGCCCAGGGCGCACAGCTCGCTCTGATCCGGGGCTGCCCCTTCCCTGGTCCCTCTCTCCCCCTGGCCCCGAGCTGCGCTCCTCTTTGCAGCCCGCGAGCCAGGAGGGAAGGCGACGCCCCGCCGCAGCCCCGGTACCTCTCCGCGCGCGGTGCCAGGTCTCAGTTCCCGAGGCCGATCGCAGGCTCGGGCAGCTCCTCGGCCATGATTCTCCCGCCGCCGCCGCTGTCGCCGCTGTCGCTGTCGCCGCCGCCGCCGCCGCCCCGGCTGCTGCTGCTGGCTGCCAGAGCTGGCTGACGGATTAGCCTCTATTTTTAAGCCATGACACGCACGTCCAAGTGGGGTTCATAGCAGTGTGTGCGTTGGTGACACACAGGGACACGGTCTCGCACTCAGGGGTCCCAGCCGCCGCGCAGGGTGGGCTCGCCCGCACCCGCCACGATCCCGCCCCCGTTTACAGACCAGACACCGAGCCACGCAGCCAGACCCGCACCGCTCGCCTCGCACACGCGCTTGAGTGTTATTGTCACGGGCCAATTACAAAGCGCGATGTCTCAAGATCACTCCCGGGCAGTGTCTGAAACACGGATGCTCCTCCCCTATAGAATTAAGTAATCACACAGGCATTCTGTAGACTCCTTTGTACATTTCCTCATTCTCCCCCCCCCCAAAAAAAAAGGACAGTGGTCAGTGTCAGCATTATTCACATTTGACCATAGGCCATGCACTTCACATATTGTAACTCACATAATCCGCATCACAAATCTATGAGATGGGTATTAGTGTCTTAGGCACAGACAGGCTAAGTAATTTGCCCAGATCATACAGCTGATTTTTGGAAGAGCTTATCTTCAAACAGTGACACTTTGAAGTTCATGCCCCTCCCTGCTCTACACCAGTGCATCACAAGGTAGAGAATGCACCCTAGGTTTTCCTTCGGAAAGACTCTGCTCAGTTCATAGTGAACTCTGCAAATCTGAGGGAAATCTCTCTTTTCTTTTGTAGTCCTTTTTAGTGAAGATTCACTTCCTGTGCGATTCGGTTGTCAGCACCTGGTAAGCACCAAGACAGGGAGCAGCTGGAGGGCAAGAATTGCATGTTTTCTTCAGGGCCCACCTCAATCGTATGATGGGAGGTGACAATGATGGGAGACAATAAATGTTACAGATATATGCTGTTGAGAACTAGTTAGAAAATTGTCTCCTGGAAGAAAGACAGGAAGTACATTAGCTCAGACTGGGACTAAAGATGGTTTCCACTATAGATGAAATCAGGAGTTGAATCTACATGTCCAGCACCAGCTACTGCTACTACTGTAGATCAGGCTTTGATTTCCAGGCAGAGAAAGTACTGGCCAAAGCAACACAATCCCCTGGTCAGTTCTGTGAGAAAGGGGAGGTACTTTCACAGATTACCACCTATGATTAATTTATCTCTTAACATTTTCTTCTCTGGAGAAGCAAGCTTTCAGTTTTCCTTGTGCCTTCTTAGTATGGCATTTGACAAGAAGAAATGAAATCCTCAGTATTTGAAACAGAGTCTTGACCTGGGAAAATTAAATTTGAGATTTTAATTCATAAAGAATCAGGAAAAGGTTTCGATGATTGGCACAAGATAAACTGTGAAAGAGCACTTAATTGTAAGACCTCATTTTAAGCAAAATGGTCTTCAGGATTGCTAGGTTGAGAGGATGTTCTAGGTAAAATTGATCCTGATTTCTAACAAGATTTCTGTTTCAACCCTGCATTGCACTTTTCTCAAAAAGGTAGAATATGTGATTTAAAATGTATCACAATATGGGCACTTATTTATAATTTACCATAGAAACTGTCCATGGACCAATATCTCCATGAAGACCATTTTTATGGGCCAACCTGTAGCTCAAGTGGTTGCATATTTTTCTTGGTAAGTAAGAGGTTTATGCTGTTTCCAGGTGACACCAAACTAAACAAAGGATGAAGGGGAGGATAGAAAATTGTGGTGGAGGAATTAGCAGATAATGAAGAATGAAGGAGAGAAAGGGGAGGAAGTAATGAAAAATAGCAGGTATTGATAATGTCAGTTGATTCCTTAGGCTTCACATATATCAGTTCATTTAATCCCACTCACATTTTAAGTGGGTATTATATTCAGTGAGAACTTGAGGAAACTGACTTTGTCCATATTAGTTAACTCACAGTGAGTCTATGGCAGAACACAGGTTCAAACCCAGGGTTATCTTATTCAAGACGTTCATAATTCAAGACTAGGCTGAAGAATCAATTCTCTATAATGCTCTATAATGGATCCATTCATATTCATTAATTCCTTCTTTGTGTTCATAGAAAGGTTCTATGAAAGGACCTATGAGCTTTATTTACTTTGTTATATACTTTCTTAAGTTTCTGTTCTCCATAATTGAGGTCATGAATGGATATACTACATAGGGATGAATATAACAGAGATGGGAAATTGAGGCTACTGAAAGATGGAGGTAAGATGCTGGGATATACTGGTGGAAGAATACTTGTTGGCATATGTAAAGCCCTGGGTTTGATCCCCAGAACTGAAAAATCATTGAATGAATAAAATGAATGAATAAATCAAGAGAGGATAGATTTCAAATTGTCTTGAAAGAAATGATCCCTCCTCATAGTTAAATAAGTATTATCGAGGGAGGAGAAATTTAATAAGAGTAGAGAATTTTTTAAAAAGACCAACAAATAAATATTAAATGATAATTTTAACTGCTACCATTTGACCATGGGCTGGTCTTTACATACATAAACTAATTTAATCCCATTAATAGACATTATTAATTCCATTTTACCATTGAGAAAACTATTTTTAGAGTGGCAGTCAATCTACTCTGCAGAGACCAAAGAGGTAATAGATGGAATCTGAGTATGAATTTAAATTCAGGACTCTTTTAAGCAAAACTCTGTGCCTCAAACCATTGTGTTTCTTTTTTGTACCAGAGATTGAACCCAGGGACGCTTAACCACTGAACCATATACCCAGCCCTTTTGATTTAGTTTTTAAAAAATTTGAGATAGGGTCTCTCTAAATTGCTTAGGGCCTGGCTAAATTGCTGAGGCTGGCTTTGAATCTGCAATCCTCCTGCCTCAACTTCCCAGATCCCTGGGATTAAAGGAGTGAGCCACTACACTTGGCCATTGTATTTTCTTTTCTATCTTTTGTTCTTTTCTTTTTGTATTATTCTTAAAGAAGAAAAAAAGACTAGCAATAATTAAAATGTATCAAGTCCTACTGTGTGCCAGGCATTTAACAGAATGTTAATTTCTTACTAGAATCCGGAGGACTTTCATGCAAGAATCATTCTCAAGCTTCCGGTCTTTTGTCTCC